TGGTAGCAAGCACATTGTCTTGTGAATGTGAACTATGGGAGATTGACTTGAGTTGAAAGTAGATGGATTTTCAAGTGATACAAGAGGTTCATATGAGTGTGAATCAGTAAGTGTGAGGTCTTGGTAAAGGTAATACAGCGGTGCAGAGTCAAAATCATCAATATATGCATCACGGATATCAGGGGTTTGATGAAATGCATCAGAGTATGTATTGTTTTCTAGTAACTAAAATGGGAAAACTTGTTCATGAAAAAAATGTCTTTGGATGCTAGGACTTTGTGTGAACATAGATCATATACCATATACCCTTTCACATTATTTGGATAACCTAAAAATATGCACTTACTTACTCTTTTGTCTAACTTTTTCCTATGTTGTGACAGGGTTGATACAAAATATAGGCATCCAAAAACTCTTAGGTAATCATATACGAGTGGTTTGTTGAATAACAAGTCATATGATGACTTGTTGTTTAGTATTTTTGTAAGGACTTTATTGATAATTTTAATAGTAGTGAGTCCTGCATCTCACCAAAAATAAAGTGGGGCATTTGATTGATGCATTAGGGCTCTTGTTACCGTCGGAATGTGTTGGTGTTTCCTCTCCACCACACCATTCTATTGGGGTTATTCACACAAGATAGTTTATGAATGATCCACTTTGGCAAAAAAAAAAAAAAAGTTTAAACTCATTTTCATTATATGATCTAATTGTTTTTGCACATAAGCTTAAAAAAATGGAATGATGCTTGAAACTTCTGATTTGTTTTTCATCAAGAATATCCAAGTAAATCAATAATAGTCATCTACAGTAGTTAATAAATTTCTTTCTTGTGACAATGTTGGGGTTTCATAGGGTCTCCAAATGCCAGTATATATTAATTGAAATGGAAATGTAGTACTTTGAACATGAGTAGGAAAAGAAAGCCTTCTTTGTTTTGCCAAAGGGCGGATTTCGCAAAGTAATTCATTTGAGCTAGAAACTACTGGATAGTTTTGATAAGTTACAGTAATTCTCTCTAATGGTGCATGGCCCAACCTAAAGTGCCAATGATCAAAGGTTTTCTGTCCTGCATTACAAGCATTGACAAAAAAACTTGGAAGGAAACTTTACAACTTTGTCAAAACAAAACTTAGAAGTGTCTTGTTCATCATGGTTTTCTTGCTTCAGATGTAACCTTGAAGATGTCTTAGCAACCCTAATCACTGTCCAGGTGAGAATGTCCTGAACAACACAGTATGAGTTAGTGAATAGAACAAAATTTTCTTGGTATGAGTTGTCATATTGACATAAGACTGAATTTAAAGCTTGGGACATAAAGAACAGTTTGTAGGGTCAGTGCTGAATTTATTTTGGCCAAGCTAATGTGAGAAACCGCAGCTCTTTTATCATTTAGTAATTGGACATAGCAATTTTGCACAGGTTTAACTAAGGTGAAACTATCTAGTGATAAGCTATATGATCCGTGGCCCTAGAGTCCATGATCCAATGACCTTGTTGTAGTACAAGACCTTTTTAGCTACCAAACAAAAGATTTACATCGTCTAAACTAGGAAGAGGTAAGTAAAACCTCCACCTTCCCCGTGCAGAGGTACAAAAACTCAACTGAAACATAAGAAAAAACCCTTGTACTGTAAAAAATCACACTTCAGCTCAAGGAATGAAAACAATAGCATAAGGACCCCCCATCCAACATGATATCTACAATTCAGACCAACCCACAACAAAAACCAAAATGTTATCCACATAGCTAGATCAAATTAGAGAACCAAAACCAGAACATAGAAAACAACCTGTCGCCAAGAAACCATTCAGGAAGTAGTGTAGTAGTCGTGGGAAGCATAACCAAAGAGGAAAAGGGGAAAAAATCATACTTAACAAACCTCTTGAAGGATCAGGCCATCTTCACCATCTTCGGTAATAACCCACAAGAACTTATCCTCTTTATCGACCCCCACCTTAACCAATGAATCAGCAACCCCATTCGCAAATCTTGAAATTTTCAAAAATCTTCGACTCTTCAATTATGATTTGAAAATTTCCATATGCATCATGGTAGTTCTGTATTTCCAAGGGACTATTGACAACTCCCTAACCCAATTCACCCCATTCTCTGAGTCGTTCTCCACAATAGCAGAATCAGCACTACCCCACCTAGATGTTGCCACAATTTGAAAGGCTTTTTTGATCGCTTAGAACTCTATTGTTTTAGCGTCTGTCACCTCAACAGATAATGAAACTTGAATTGACAACCTTGTTTTATTATGACAATATTAACATGTTTATATTCAGAAGGTAAATTATTGTGTGTGTTGAAACAAGCTTGGTTAGAGACTATACCTATGAAGGTAGAATTTATAAGTGAATGCTTGGCTAGTTATGTGTTTGCTAGGACATTCTTACCATCATTGCTGATCAATCCATTTTCATTCAAGAGATCCATTAATCTATTAACTTGTTGGTGTATTAAAGATATCTGAGACATAGAGTTGGTGTTTCCCATTTCTTCCACATGGCTAGTTTGAGCATCATTTGTTGGTGTCTTTACTAATGTTGATGGATTGTTCTCCATAACTGATCTTTTCTTTGCATATGGTTTTCCTTCGGTAACCTTAAAACCCTTTAGAAAACCAAGAAGTATGTAGCATTTTTCTTTTACATGACTTTTCTTGCGACAATGAGTGCAACAACCATAGTTGAGGATTCCATGAAAGGCTAAGATTGTGCAAATAAACTCCTCTAAGTTTCTTCCCTAAGAACCATACTATAAACTTTAGCTAATGCATGTATTGGATCCATCAAAATGATTTAGGATCTGATGGTAGAGAATGACTCATTTAGGCCATTGAAGAAACTAAATATTAAGTCCTTTTTGTATTGGTTTGAGTAAATCTTCAATCAATTTGGGTCACACTAACCATACTGACAAAGTGGCAGAGGCCAATAGCTTCTTAACTTTTCCTAAATGCCTTTCAGTTTTAAAAAGTACGCATCTACAGTCTTGGTTCCCCGAGTCACACAACCAAGGGTATATTGTAGATTGCTAACCCTTGAGTCATTTGGTTGGGCAAAGTTTTGTTTTAAGGTGTTCTAGATTTCAATCATAGAATCCATGGAGAAAATAGTAGATATTATTGGTTGTGAGATCCTAGAAGCCAAGCAACGATCTGGTTATTACGTTTGCTCCATGCTAGATAAAATGGGTTAATAATAAAGGGTTTAGGGATGGTTCCAGTGATGAACCCTATTTTGTTTCTAATTGATAGAGCTTGTAAGAAAGAAGGGCTCCAAGCCACATAGCTGTTTGTGGTAAGTTTAGGATTAGCTATCACTGAACCTGGATGGTCAATGTGCTAAAGATCATATGGAGATTAGGAATCATTCGCAGCTAAGAGTTGTATGGCAGGTGGAGTGGTGGTTTGATTGTTCTTTGAGTTGTAGACTTAGTTGACTCAGTCGTTTTTTTTTATTTCTTAAATGGCAGTAAAGGAAACGATATGAAGATAAAGAGATAGGCTAGTATACTTATTGATTCGAAGGATTGAAAACAGTACAAGAGGATTGATGCAGGACAAGAAGGTATTGCCTTGTGAATTGATTCTTGATTCGTTTGGTACCCTTAACGAACCTGCTTTGATACCATGACTAAAAGGAAGATGACAACCTCAAGAGGGAAAAGCGGCGCAAACATTTCTGAGCAATGCTGGAATATTTTTTCATCAGAAGAATGATTTGTACAATGTCTCATATACATAGGTAAAAAATGATTAAACAAAAAAAAAAAAAGGCTGCTTTACTAATCTGTACAATCTAACTGATCTAACTAACTTTAAAAACATTAGCTTGAAACGTTGCCGTATCACCAAGGTTATATGACAACCTTGTATTGCTTCCAAAACAATGGGTTCAAGACAAACATCTAATCATCTTAAACTCTGCGTTTTGCCTTTATCTTGTTCTGTCTGCCTACCTTAGCCTGATCTGATCTTCTTTTGTTCTTTATTAGGCTTCTTATTTTCCAGATTTGATTCAATCTGGAATTATTCTTCAATCTCATTTATCAGAGAACACGTTCAATCTTTATATCACCTCTCTGTATGGTCTCCTTGATCAAGTGATATCGCCTTAGTAAATGTTTGGATCTTAAATGAAATCTTGATTCCTTTGCTTGCGCATTTGCTTCATTGTTGTCATAACACAGGTATTGACTCAGTGATGCTAAGAATATCACCTAGTTTAGTGATGAAATTCTTGATCCAAACATCATATTTCATTGCCTCGAACGTAGATATATGTGGAACTTCAATTGTAGAGTCTACTATCATCTCTAGTTTGGAACTCTTCAAACTGACTGCTTGGCATTTTAGAGTAAATATGTATCCACCTAGACAGCGGTTGTCATCCTTGTCGGATTGAATATTTTTAAGTCTGATGTGAAAAAAGTTAGAATCACAAAGACTTAATAAAATTATAAAATTATTTTGAAATGTGATCAAATAAGTTAATTTTGAATTGAGAGTATTTTGATAATTTTATAAGAGAAAATTAAGAGTTAAATATCTCATGGGAACATAAATTATCTACAAGATATTAGTTAAGCAAAAAAAATACACTGTGTCATATGAAAAAAGGGATACAATCACAAAAATATACAAGTTTGCTCATGGTTAAAATAACAAATGTAGATATGAAAACTGTTTGATTTCACCAAACAAGGAAAATGATAGCCGTGGCTCTCGCCAGACTAAACTATTTCTACCTAAAGGCTATCAACACATAGAGCCATTCTCAACAAAGAAGGGTTGAAATAACCAATAAGAAGAAGACATAAGCAAGAATATTAAAGATAAACCAACCTGGTTTAATTCCAAGGGTAGAATATACCTAATTTCGAGTAGTGGAGTTTCATAGTGTGGATGGGTGCAAAGAGCAAGGGTCAACACTTGCATCGGGCAAAGATGCCACAATAGAAAATTCAGCCTAGTTACAACAAACAAAACTTTTCAACATTCTTATTTGTTCATTTCATATATCGTCCATGTGCTTACATTTGTTAAATCAAGATGCATTAAACAATAAATTCAGTAAATATAAGCTCAAAATGGATAATTAGTCTAACAGCTAATTATCAATTCACAACAAGGATCTCTGGAGGAAGACTTGAGGCCCCCGGAGAGTAACCTTTGGTACCATAAAAATTAAACTTAATTCTAATTAGATCCAACTTCCACACCTTGATTCAGCAATCTTATGCATTCCTTCTGATTCCTGAAAAAAGAATGTAAACACCCGCACCAGCCAGATACCTAGCAAAATAAGGTTTCATTAGGCCCCAAGGAATTGCTCTGAATTAAACGTACTGCATAAGTTCTCAGTTCCAAAAGTGTTGCGACTATCAATACATGTTACAGCCCGGATGGACCAGAAAAGCATTTGTGTAACCAAACAGTCAATAGATTCAGAATTGTAGATGCGTAGGTTCTGTTCCTCAGCAATATTACATCCTCTAAAATCATCAGGAGTTAATGTTGCATTGGCCGCTAACCAAGTGTGAAATGTTTGTACAGTCAATCTAAATTTTCTGTAAGAATGGTAAATCAAATTCCAAACTAATTATGCTTTCCTGCATGACAAGGTTATGTTAAGCCTTTGCTTCTGCTGCAGCATGGAGAAGTTCATCTGGAGTTGCAGCCGGGTCTAGATCCCAACAATGATCTGGCAAATTACTGGTTTCTCCTTCAAGTAACCAAGATGGAACCTGGTGTGAAAAGCGAAACATCTCTCTCCTCGGAATCCATCGAATGGCATCCTTATTTGTACTTCTCTGATATACTGTCTTGAACCCAGCCAATTTGATAAGGGGAGCAACACAAACTCCAAGCTCTTCAGAGTAATCATCAAGCACCTCAACCATCTCATATTGGTGCCTCACATCATCAGGAGTTGACCTGTTCCAATCTGGTGACCAGTTTCGATAAACAGCCCAAATATCTCCACTTTTGGGGAATATCCGAACGCAGCCTCCCCTTCCAGCCTTTTGTGCCCTCAGAAGATGAGAGAAAATGTTGACTTGATCAATAAAGTCAGAATTCCAGGCCCTGAAGTGTCCACAAGATTTAGTAAACCCAGAATCCACCCAACTTACTGACCCAAATTCATTATCAGTTTTGGAGTTCAAGTAAGTGATGAGAATCTTAAATGGTTTTACTGAGACAACCTGGCGAATCAAACAGTACAAACGAGGCATACCATCGTCTTCGTCATACAGGGCCCATATTTGCTTTGGTTTGAAGCATTCCTCAGATCTATCTTTGTCAAAATCATGGAAGTCGGGGTCTGGAACTGTAATTGAGATCGGTGCACTTTTATTTGGTGCTGATTGATGAACAGAAACAGCCATATTTGTCCTTTTGAGAGCCTTTCCAGCCACCTGTGGTTGACCATCATCAGTGCCTAGTATAACTGCAGAAACTGTGGCGGCTGCTGCCTCTGAAGCCAACCTAAGCTCTTCTAATTTCTTCCGAATTTGTGTCCTTGCCTTGTCAATCAACAACTTTCTAGCATCAAACGTGGGGGCAATTGAGCATCGCCTATTTGGAGGTTCACAAGAGTTGGAAAGCTTTGGATCATGCTCAACACCATTTTCATTTGCTAATCCTGCTTCTGAAGGTTTTGATTCCTTGTCTTCATATCCATTTCTGAAGTTGGAACCAACAACAACCTTCCTTTTCTTCTCAAGTCTGCCAGTCTTAGATCCTGCAGATTCATTATAGCCATTGGAAACATTTGGAGTTGTCTGAGTGGCAATGTTTTTCATGGAACGTTTTGCATTGGCACTCAATTTCACCTTCGACCCTGCTCCTCTAGCATCTCCATTGGTCTGATAAGCAGCATCGGTTGAAATGGCTGATACTCCATTATGGCTCGCAATCCCAGTAGAAGTTCCAGAGAAGGAGCTCCACTGAAATGACATGTTAGAAACATACTCATACCCATGCCCAGGATGATAACCTGAGACCCCATTTCCAGGAAAAAATGTAGCATTAGTTGGGACATATGTGACCCCATCATATCCATGACTTCCATATCCATTACTTGGCACATAAGACCAAGGACAGTAGGGGAAAGAACCGTTCACAGGGGCTGACCCAGTTTCAACAGCAATAAAAGTACCTCGGCAGTTCTTACATGAAAGTCTCTTATTGACATACTTCCGAAGATATTCATACTGGACCTTACAAGATGTGCATACAGTCCAAAAAGTATCAAGTCTACCCTGTGAGGTTGGATTTGAACAGTTGCTGACACCTGAAACCCCAGCAGCATATGTTGAAGTTTGAACCACTCCAGAAGGCACCTGTTTGTTTCTCTTGGTATCATAGGAACTTTTCTTGATTCTATCTGACAACGAAGTCCACGCTTCAGATACAAGTTTAAATGCCCCATCAGCTCCCACACATTTATTCTTATCAGGATGGAGTAGCACAGCCATCTTTCTGTACTGCTTCTTCACTGCCTCTTTATCTGCAGAAGGCTTCAACCCAAGAATTGAATAGTAATCGATTTCACCATTACATTTAGCCTCAGAAGCAACATAAACTTCAAATGTGGACACCATCTGCGATATACCCTCTAATCCAGGATACAAAGATTTAGCCTTTAATGCATAATTCTTAGCACCTGCAAAGTCTCTTTCACAAAATCGCTTCTCAGCGATCTCTTTTGATTTAAGAGCTTCCTCTTTGTTTGCTTCCATTCAAAACGTTCAAACGATTTTTAAAACCAAACTCTCCAAACAAAAGTTATAAGGACCCCAACATGCTTAACCATAAAAGAAGCTGAATTGTCATATTGAACCATCTCATGTTTTCTGCATATGGTCAACAAGACAACATTTAGATCTTTCCCAAAATCAAGCTTCGTTTTTCCCAAGTAACAATCTAACTGACCAAGTCATACAACTTTCAAACACGCTTAATTAACCCTAATTACACATCTTTGAATTCAAGATCTTAACTTTTTAAGTTCTATTTGATTGCTGAGAAACCAGAGAAAGACAAAAATAAAATAAAATAAAATAAAAATTGGAAGCTAAACAAATCAATCAATCAATCAAAATTAACCATATCCAAGCATTACCAAAGTTGGGTTATTCCTTATCTTAGTGCAAAAAAATGTAAAACTTGGCAGTTGATTTCCATTACTGTTTCCATAAGTTTCTCAGTTAAAAAAATCCATTCGAACAAACTAAAAAAGCCATAAAAAAAAGCAGCTAAATTTGCCAAAATTTGAAAACGCAAATCACACTAATTTCAAAGCCAAATAACCAAAAGCAAACGGATCCAAGTTCAACAGCTCAAAAACTACATAAATCAAGTAATTTTATCCAAAATTTTAAATAAAGAGTTAAAACTTTTTACAGAATTAAAGTGTATAAGTAAACATTTCCACATAAATTAAAGTTAAAAATGAAAACAAAAAAAAGAAGCTAACCTCACTGAGATTTGAGCAGCAATGGATGTTAAGCAAGACCCAGATCGCCACGTGTCCTTTAAAGCTTGAGCAAATCAAAATTTTGAGCTAATTTGTGAATCCTAGTGCAGTTAAAACTAAGAAACAAATAAAAAAAAAAACAAACTATTTCTGGGAGGGGAGTACACTGAACTAACTGGCGGAAACAAATTAGGGTTCTCAACCGGGAATTTAGAGGGATTAAAATCGGCGGCGAGAAATTTGGGATTCCGTCTATCGCCGATCAGGAAAAATGGGGTGGGCGAAACTTAATAATAAAAATGATAATTTTCAGTGAAAGTAAACGGTGTTAATAGTATTTAATGGTGGGGGTTGCTATTTTGCACTCTGTGCGTAATACGCACAGTGTTTATTTATTTATTTTGTTAAAAAATTATATTTTAATTAAAGAAAAGGAAAAAAAAAAGAAAAAGACATAATTAAGTATTGTAATAATTGTGATATTAATAATAATGGGAAATTATGTTTATTGGGGAAATGTTTGGTAGCGGATAGAAGTAGAGTTGGGTAGAGGATAATGGCTTTCTCTTTCGGTTATTTGTTTGTTTATTTTAGGTAATAAATAATTCCATGGAAAAGAAAAAGTTAAAATCTTTTTTCTTTCTTTTGTATTTTTGGTACGTAGAAGAAAAGCAAAACAAGATTCCTTTATTTCCTACGTTATTACTTTCATCACTTTTCATCATTTTTTCTGTGTGTGTAAATAAAATCAAAATTCAGAGTTGGAACAACCTTCAAATATTGCATCAATGGAGTCCAATATATTCTAATTTCCCTTTCTTTTTTCTTTCACCATTATTGCTGCAGTGAATTTAAGGGGTAAAGAAAATTAGCTTGCTTTGCATTTATTTGGACCAACTATCTCTTTTAGTAAATGGATTCAAAGTAATTAGACTTATGCTCTGAGCAATCAAGGGACGATAAGGGGTGCTGAGAGCAATTACTCAGAGCTGATCTTCTCTTGTATAAAAAATCATGGATGTAATGAAGAATTTAAGATTTTATATGAACGGTGATTACAAAATAATTATATTATATATATTAAATTATAATAAGAAAAAAATTAAAAATTGAGAGGTGACTGTCTTCACTTTCTACCACCTCTCAAGACTCTGCCCTTGCATGGATGTATAATAATTTACATAGGCTAAATCTCTTAACATTACACATGCATTGAAGTTTATTTTTCTTCTTGAATTTATAGCATTTCCTGTTTAGATGCCTTAGTTATCTTAAGTAAATAGGATTTTTTTTCCTTTCGAATAATTTATGTACATATGATAAACTCAAAATCTAGTCGAATTTGTTAAATATTGGTATTTTACTTTCTTGGTTGAATTGTTATTATAATGATTCAACCACCAAAAATCTAATAATTGCCAACATTTTACTCTACCTCCAATCTATTTTTCCGGTTGGCCTTGGATGTTTTTTCAATACTTTTATAGTTCCAAATCATTGATTAAGATACCATAAAGAATTTTAGTTAAAACTTGATGGAGTTGGCATCGAAACCCTAGATACAATGCGTTTTTTCAAGGATGTAGACCCAGCAAACCAGGCCACAGCCAAGACATCATAGTACTAAATATGTAGTTTTATTGTACTTGGAGGTAGTTGTTGTTTTCAAGCTATTATGGTAGCTTTGAATGATACCCTTGTACATGTATAGTAGATTTAATGGAAATGAATCTGAAATTAAGGAGGAGTTGACGATTAGGACTGTGTATTAGATTGCTAACTAGCCTTTCTAACCCCATCCAACTCATCTGAAAACAAACCCTATCTCTATTTACTGGTTTTCTCCACAAAGACATTTCAACTAAAGTCTAATATGCCAAATTATTGAGTGGACCATGGAATATACATTATTAAGCATATCTTATCTTAAGTATTTGTAGGCCTTCTCTTCCTCGAGGGATGGGCATGTTATAGATCATTTAACTTTATTAAGGATAGCCTGCTTGTTCCATACTTATTTTGTTTGTCAATATATACTAGTATACGGCTTGTTGCAATATACTGTAACATTACTTTTGTTTTTGTCCAAATTAAAAAAGATATTGATAAATACTAACTTATTACAGTGTTAATTGGCTTTGAAGTCAAAATTAAATTTTCAAACCTTTGTATTATATAGTCAAACTTTTTTTTTTTTAACAACTTATGTTTGGTTTGGCCATTATTATTTAGGGTTGGGGAATACAGCATAATGAATTAAAATGATTGGACCTTTTAAGCGGTATTAAATTATGATTAGTAGAATAAATTTGAGTGATTGTATGAAAAAAAAGGAAAAAAAGCAGCTTGAATTGAATGGGGCTTGGGGGAAAAGGTGGAAGTAGCAGCTGTGATATTGGGTAGTTTAAGCGGAGAAGAAAGAGCATGTGAATCAAAGTGGCAGAGAAATGGTTGGCCCACCCAGAGGAGAGGCTTTCTCCAGTCACAATCAGAAACCGGAGGCCCATGTCTCAATTCATAACTCACCGCCAAGCACATTTAAGACAAAGCGTATTCTTATTTGGTCTATTCTTCTTCAATCGGTAACTTTTGTACATAACAATCATGTCCCCATCATGGGTTTTTAAATTCCATTTAATCCATTTTACATTGAATTTTAAGGAACCCAATTGCGGGTTATTAAAAAAGAATTTCTGTATATTAAACATTAAAATAAATAATTTACATAAAATTTTAAGAAATTATATATACTTAAAAAGGATTTTCATTCCACGGGCTAGAAAACAAGCACAATGAAGAAAAAAACAGGGATGCATTTTAGCATAAATAGCAATTTTCGTATCTATTCAAATGGACCCTTACGGCCCAGCTGCAGTCCAAGACATGATAGAATCTATATTTTATATTTATATATTTATTTATTGGATTTTATCCAATTGGTAACCCAATTACATTTACTATTGTTCTTATGTTTTTTTTTTTTAGGAAACTCTTTTCTTTTTCAGCCTATCTCTTGCCTTTTTTCCTTTTATGTTTTAAACTTTATTATCCTTTTAAATAATTTATTCGGTCATTAACTATGAATGTTACTTTTTATGCATGGCCGTTGGAAATTCTCCTCTTATATATATATATATATATATATATTATACATACTCCAAAAATTATATTACATAAGGGACAAAATTTCTTTTTCATGGTTAATTTTTTCTTTTTGCAGTTTTCGCCGTAGGACAAGGGAAGCAGGTTGAGGCAAGAGTAACGGTTAGTGTCGTAAGTCGTATCTTTTCTCGAGAAAGAGGTACAAAAAATTTTATGTCTGGGTAAAAGTTCCAAAATGACATTTGGGCACTTTCTCAACCTTCAGTATCCTCCAATTCAAGCCCAAATATTCATTCTCTTCTCATATTTACTCAAATATACCAAGAAATTAGAAATTATTAGGAAAAAAAATAAAAGAACAATATCAAAAAGAACTTATTCATTAATGACAAAGCTAGTAACATTTTCACAAATAATTATAACAACAAAAAAATATAAAAAATAATAATAAAAAAAAGGTTATAAAGAATTTTTATCATCATTTGCATTTTTAAGGTATATTAAATTGGAAAAGACGACCAACAATCAAACATTCACGGGCTTGCAAAGGAACATCAGAGACGACGGTGACAATTCCCCGACGAGCCTCCCATTAGGACTATTACTTCCACCAAGCCTTTCGTAGCAATCAACGCAAAACAAAGACAACGAGAGCTGGACCTCGTCGCGAGTCCAAGAAGCCCTCCTCACTCGTCCGAGTCGGCTCAGCACTGGTCTCACGCAAGCCATGTAGAGGCGTTTGTAGCCACCCAGGGCAACGACGACCGAACGCACGCTGGAAGGTGGGGGAGACACGTGGCGAAAGCAGAGGTCTTCCCAGAGGGAGTCGTTACGAGCAATGGTGCACCAGAGACGGCAAACGCAGGTGGCGACGCCAAGGGAACGGCCGTCGAGGCGTTTGAGGATCTCTACGAGGATGTCGACGTGGTCGTTGATGAACAACTTGGGTCTTTTTCCCTTGTTCTCTTCGACTGTCTCTTGGTCTTGGCGGTGGCGGTTGCGGTGGTGATGTTGCACCATTGTTAACGAAAAGAGAGACAGAAGAAGAAAGAAGTAATAGAAGAATAGTTAGCGTTGAGAGAAATTAAAAGAAAAAACACTATGGTGTGTTACATATATAGGAGAAGTGTTATAGGTGTAACGTAAGGTTTAAGTGATTTGACTTTTGTGAGAGATAGAGAGAGAGAGACAGAGAGAGAGAGAGGGAGAGGGAGAGGGAGGGACAGAAAAAGAGAGGGTGTTTGCATTAGGGAAAAAGACACAGAGACAGACTTGAAGACAGGGAAAGAGAGAGAATTTTTCATTTCATTTTTTTTTTGTTCTGGGTTGTTGAGAAATTTAGATGCAGTTTTCTTTTTCTTCATTTTTGCAATAGGGGTGTGGTAAGAATTTCATCTGCATGTCAAGAAAGGAATATAATTTACAGTGTGCATGAGTTGGAGGGAGTCAAAATTTTGGGTTAACGAGAGAGAGATAGAGAAAGGGAGGTGGGGTATCGAGAGAAGAGGAGAAGGGGCCAAGGGAAAGGGCCAAGGCAAAGAACTGGAACCGATGCTATGCCTTTTTCTTTAATTGCTTTTTGTATATTGTTTTCGAGTTTGTTGTTATTGTTGTTGTTTTCATTTTTGTTGTTGTTTGCGTATTTCAAAGACCTTTTTTTTTGTTTCAGCTGCAAGGGTTGAGGGCCGTTGGTAAAATCACTGTATCTAGTGAAGCAGAGACTTTGGTTTTTCTTCAGCTATATTCACAGATGGTCTGCAACTCTATGTTGTTTTTTTCGCCTACACACTAATTTCAGATTGGACCATATTGCACTAGTAGGGGGAATAGCTACAGAAAGCCTAATGTGAAATGTGTGAGGCCCAGCTGCTCATCGGGTGGGGGTGCAAAGGCCAAACTTGATTTCACATTTTTTCTTACAAAGATTTTTGGACTTTGCAGTGGAAGAAAGAAGATACAAGGAAAGGAGAAAATGTAAACGGAGATGTCATTTCAACACCGCTGGAAGCAACCTAGAATTGCTATCCAAGCATGCTGATTGGAACCAGAGAAGAAATTTTGAGTCCTCAACAGGCAGAGAATATTGCTGGCTGATATTTCTCATCGTTGCTACGGACATATTTCCCTATTGATATCTTAATTGCCCTCCACTTCATTCTTTTGCAAACTCACCTTTAGGTCCTAGCAATATAGGCATTAGGATTTAGTAAGATTTCCACTGTCTAGGCTCTTCTTTTGTCTGTTATTAAAAAAGAAAAATGAAAACTGAAATTTCAGATTTTTGGTGATAAAAGCAACTTGGTCATACAAATTATTTATGTGATGCACATATATATTTATATATATATATATATATATATATATGAAGTAATTTTTTTCTTTTTTAATCGAGAAAAGAGAATTTGAATTTAATTTTTCTTTTGAAAAAAATTTTAAGGTACATAAAAACATTTTTACTACATGTATAGATTATACATGTATGCGTATGTAATTAATGCTTACATATAAGCTGCATCCAAGAATGAAAACAGACTGTTCACTGGGCACCAGAGAAGTCATATCAAAAAGCATCTTATGTTTCATCTTCAAATAATAATAATGAGCCTTCGGGTAACAACCAAAGCAAAATGAAGAGCTCTAAGGTCACGGTCAGAAGGCAACTATTTGGTTGTCTTATGGGGTTGGATTTTCGCCCGGAAAGGAAACCCCCAAGACCCTTTGAGACAGAAAGCATATAATAAAATATCATTAAGATAAAGGCTTGAAATTGACATTAGATTTACAAAGGCTTCGCTGCTCTGCGGAAAGGGTACCCACCAATATCTTAGAGTTTTTAATGGAAGACTTGTTCTGTATTGTGTTGGACTTGTTCATTGGACACATTTGAGCAGGCGCTGTTCCCTATTCTTTCTGGGAGGAATTTGATAATTGCAAGATTACAAGGAGAAATCCGTAAAGTGCGCAAAAACTTTCACATTTTCACTCACTCCCCCAACGACTATCATCTTGTACTTTACTCTTTTCAAAAACAGGCTAATTGGTCAAACGTTGCACATAAGTGTTTTCACCATTTCTCTAACCCATGCATCCATCTGCACCACTACAAGCATGGGCCATCAAATTTCACCCCTTTTTTTATTATTTTTACTTTAAACTCTGCTTAGACTTAGAAGGGGAAATCTTGGGGTTTCATGGCAGAGACTGAAATTGGGTCAGTGATAGCCAACTAGACTAATGTGTGGACTCTTTCCATCTGCATGTTTGGCTTCCTAGTTGTTGTTCACTTTCTTCTCGTGAGGTATCTAGGTGATCGTGTCATTTACAAGATTTAGGACAAGAAGATGTCTCGGGCAACAATTCCCATACAAAACCCAAAACTTTTCAACCAGAGTAAAAAAACCCATATCAAATTTGTGTGCTTGAAGTTATCCATCTGGCCAGGTTCTCTCTGTAGTGTTTGCAGGAAGGACCCATTAGCATTAATGCCATTAAATATGTATATATTTTTTCAAAACTAACAACAAAGGTCAAGATATATATATATTAAGTAGTAGTATTTGTTAATTTGGATGATTGCATTGAATCCATGGAGGCACATTTAAATGATGGAAACAATGTAAAGAAAACAAACAAGTAGATAAAAGGTGAACAGAATAGGACCTGGAAAAACAAACAATGAAATTACAGCCAGGGTTCTAAATCAATGCTATACATGACATCCTTCCCTAACTGCTCTCTTAGCTTGAAGTGAGCCATCACGGAATCTGGAGTACTCATTGTTTTAAGATGTTTAGCTAGAAATGCTTGTACATTTTCTTCCTGGTTTTGTTCTTCCAAAGGCCTAGAGATTTGTTGGACTTTCCTTGTTTCATGGGTTACTTTTGGTAGGAAACTTCTAATCCAACTTACAAACTGATATTAACATACTGCCAAATTTTACTGTTTGATAAACTCTGATATGGGGTTGGGGTACCCTTTTTAGGTCCCCTTTCTTTTTTCCCACTAATTTTCAAGCCAAATTTCTTTCCCAAGATATTCTGCTCAAGCTAGGCTTTCTTTGCTGAGAATTTAGCACCAAAAGAAGAATGGGTGAGTAACGCTATAAGGAGACTTTTAATTAGATAAGGGAAGAAATAATTAATCATGTGACTAGTCTTCATCATGGTTGGTTGGTTGGGGACTAATGTGACAAGATATAGTGTTCAGGGTTCAAAAAGTTAAGAGCAATATCTATTTGATTTAGACCAAAATCTAGCTGTAAAGAATGGTTTAAGGAAAATTCTCAATTATCATGGAAGTATTTTGTCTTCCAGTCCACATTATGGAACAATTTTAAAACTACAACTTGTCTAACATCATGTTACTGCTAATGGTCAGTATCAGTAATAAATTATATGATATTTTTCTTACACATTTCATTTTAATGTGACACTTAAGAGTCTGCTAATGTCTGAGAGGTTTATGACATTTATTTTCCTTTCTTCTGAACAGTTTTACGCAAGGGGATATTATATCTCAATATTTTGGAATATAGTTTCCCAAGATTTGAACTGAGGGCATTGTGGCAAGAAGCTGAAACTAGAAGCAGAGTTCAAGAAGAAATTTAGCTGGCTTCCCAGATGCATTTCTTCTCGCCAAGGACACTGCTGATCTGGATTTCATGAAGGTCTAATTGAGATTCATTAGCAGCACTACACTAGTTCACTAGACCCCGCTGTACCTGCTAACTGAACGATAAAGCTTACCAGAGAAGAATGCACTAGCATTTTTCTAAGGGAGGATCAAACAAACATGGTGTCCAATAGTTTTTAGCTACACTAAAAACCACAGTTCAATGTAGTTTCCCAAGTTTCATTCCATCTATCAATGTGCCCAATGTCTAGTTCCGTCAAGCAATCTGTTCACTGTCGACTGATCAACCACAACACACCTTAATAGTTAAGGAAAACATCCAATGCCATACTTATTCTAAAACAAATGTTCAATGTAGTGTTTGAAGTTTCATTCCATTTATTAATGTGTCCAACGTTTGATTCCGTCAAGTTATTTAGTGATGTGTTAACAAATCAATCCAAATGCATCATGCAGTCAAATAAATGCCACATCACTCTTGATCCATGAGACGTGATATAATCTCATTCTTTATAAAAATATTTTTTAAAAAAATAAAAAAATTTAAAAAAAAAACAATTTTTCTACCGTTTTAAATTTTCATTTTTGAAAAAAAAAAGAATACTTTTAAAAAGTATTTTTGTTTTTTAAAACTAAAAAATTATATTTTTCCTTTTCTTTTCTCTCCTCTCCTTCCCTTCTTTATCTTGATCTCCCTATTTTGACCAACTTCGACTATTAACTGACTGGATCTGGTTAGGCGTGGCTAGATCTGGCTTTAATACGACCAAAAAACGACCTCAAAATGGTTAGGAATATCATCAAACCACAGTTGTAATAATATCAACATTAAAATAAACATGATATAACAGCATTATCAACCTTTAGACGAATGAATCATGCTCAACCTCAACAATACTAATATTATAAACAAGAAGAATATCATCAAAGCACAATTGTAATAATATCATCATTAAAGCAAATACATAATATCAGTCATAATGTCTCCAATAATAGTAATAAACTTGCAATAACATCATCATCAACACTTAAACAAACTAATTATTAACTGCAATAACATCATCAAAGCACAATTGCAATAGCATTCCCATCAAAGCAAACACATAATAACTGTCAATGTCACCACTATCTCCAGTAGCAATTTTCAACAAAAATAGGTAATGACAGTCATGTACATTTACCGCATGTTTGGTACAACTATTCCCATGTTTTCTCTTTACTTCCGTTTGAAAAGCAATTGCCATAAAAAATAATTATTATTTAATATTAGCTATTCTTTAAAATGGGATAAAACTCAGGCTTAAATAAACTAAAGCCCTCCCATGGTATTTGTTATTTCATGGCTAGGGAAATAGTTTTAAAATTTGATAAGACTAAAATACTTCTTATAATTTAAAAATATTACAATCTTAGATATATAAATATTTTTTTTCTTTCTTCTTTCTCTTTCTTCTCACGTTCTTGCCTCTCTCATTCTCTCTCTAACTTGCACTCATCATTGGAGATTATGAGGGCAGTGACAGACGGTAGCAGCGATGATGATGGTTCCACGGTCGAATATGGTCTAAAAGTGTCAATCTAGTACTTTTCGACAAAATTCAACTGAACAATCGCTGGATCCGAGATCCATTGCCTGATCTGGTCGCTGAAAGCACCGAATATGGTGCCTCCTGACCAGATCCCTAAGGTCGGATCTGACACTCCATAGCCAGATCCAGTTGTTGGAAGCACCGATCTAGCGCTCTAGTGGCCAAATCCAGCCACATGGTGCCCCAGATTATGTTTCATAACACCAGTCACATTTTCGATGATCGGTCCATGGAAAAGAAGAAAGGAAAAAAGAAAAAAAAAGAAAAAAATATAAAAAATTAATATTTTATATATAATTTAAACGTTATTAATATTAATATGTTTAAAATATTAAAATATTAGTATTTAATTTATTAAATTATTAATATATTAAATTTTTAACGAGTATAAATAAAAAATAAAAAATGTAAATAAAGAAAAAATAAAAATTATAATAATATTTTAATAATAAATTATTAAATTTTAAATTTTTAAAATTTTAATGAAAATAAAAATTAAATAATTAAAAAGATTTGCTTATATTTGTCTTTTGGCATAAATTTTACTAAATTATGCAAAGGGTATTTTGTTGTTTGAAAAAATAAATATCATTATAATAAAAAGTTTTAGTTTTTAATTATATATTATAAAAATTAATATTTAAAATTTGAAATTAATTAAAATTGCTAATATTTTAGTCATAATAATATGAAATTATAAATAAAATATTAATATTTCAATTATTAATTATTAATATTTTAATTAAATTATATATTATTAATATTTAAAAATAAAATAAAAATAAATAATCATATATATATATATATAATAAAGGACATTTTTGTTTTTTATTTTCTATTTCTTTCTTATTTCAAAATTATTGTTACCAACCAAACACTAAAATAAGTCATAATAATTATTTTTATTTTATTCCATTCATTGTACCAAATTACGTAATAACTATTTTATTTTATTCCCACGTAACAACTATTCTATTCCATGAACCAAATGTTCCCTTAAGGATTAAAGCAAACTAAGGAAAGAATATACAATCCCGTTCTCCTTTCATGAACAAGAAAAGAAATGAAATTGTTTTCGTGTTTAATTATCCTTTCTTCCTTTTGTATTAGGTGGTTCACCTTGACATTTTGAAATCAATTGTACTATTTATGGGTGCTCCACTTGTTATCGATAAAGGCATCTCATATTTCTGTCATAATTTACAATCAAAACAACCTTTTGTATTCTTATATATTATTGACATCGGTCTACGCTTGTGTATTTTTACACTTTTCTCCTAACATATCTTTCAAGTAGTCTCTATATAGTAAAACCTTTTTAAATTAATATCTTAGGAATTATGAAAATTTATTAATTAATCGAGATATTATTTAATTAATAAATTAATAAAAAATTATTTTATTGAAGTATTCTTTATTTTCTTTTCAAAATATTGAACTTAATACATGTATTATGTATTGTGATTATACAAATATTACTTAATTACTAAATTACAAATTATCATTATTCTATATGCTTGTTTAACTAAAATAAATTCATGAATGTAACTAGTCTAATTAAATAGAAGTCATGAATTCATCCATTTTTGCAACAAACTAAAATTACATTCGATATATACTTAATTAATATATTTTATGAACATTAAGTAAAGCAAAAACATCTATAAAAAGAAATATGGTATCATAAACGGTAAAACTAAACACAATAACTTCTTGTGATGTAAAGAAATCTTTAATGACGGATGAAATATGTAAAACATTATATATAAAAAATTTAAATTATATCCAAAAATAATTGTAATAGTAGATGTCAGAAAAGTTTAACTTGCAAGTGAGTCAACCAATAATATTAAATACGATCAAGATGTATTCAAAATAATAATGACATTGCATAATTTTCTTTTGCAATGCGAGAACACTACACTATAACTTTTTAATACACTATAACTTTTTAATGCATTAAGAAAAATTAGAGATGAGATCTAATGAGCCATCAATTTCAAGAAAAAATAAGTAATATTGGAGTCATATTTTATAAAAGTCTCTTAATTGAGTCATGTACATAAATAATTTTGATGTATAAGGAGATTATTAATTTATATATCAAGTGTGACTTATGTGTTTTTTTTAAATGTATTATCTTATAAATTTAGTAAATTCTTAATTTACTACATTGGTCCCAAGTCAAGATTGATCAAAAATATTATTTAATCAAAATTATTAATTTATCCAGATTTTGCA